TCCGGGGTCTGGAAGACAGTGCAACTCCCATCGTGGATTGGTCATGGATTCTACCACCGCCCTCGTCAGGTCAGGAATCCTCCAGGGGCTGAAGCCTCCTGGGCGCATTCCTTAACCAACGCCCCCACTGTAAGGATGCCGGGGCCTTGGAGGGCCATGTCGAAGCTCCTCGAGCGGGTCGCGGCTGACGAAAGTGGCCCAGGACGGGCCGAGGAGGCAAAAATGCAAGGGCACCCTTGGGAAGGTCGCCCCTCCTTGCTGCGCGGGTCGACTGTACATCAACAATCTCTGAGATCCCGCGGATGTTGAGGATGCCTCGGGCGCCGCGGAATTAGCGTCGGTTAACTGATCCCCATCCCCAGCGGCGTGGCCTGGGCCCCACTGGCCGATTTACCCCCCTGGATGGGGATATAGGTCGTTCCCTTCGGGTTTCGAGGGGTGCATCCCCAACTGGGGTGGTAATCCCACCAGCCTTCTGGGCGTCGGTGGTTTAGAGAGCTTCCTCTTCCACCCCTCCTTTTTCCCCTTCGGTGAGGGGTTTATCACTGTTCCCTATTAATAAACACCCCCTCCCCCAGGCGACTGGGGGCCAACCAGGAACCATGACGACTCCCCCCCCACCATCCCTTGTAAAAACAATACAAAACGCACTCTGCCTCCAAACTCGGAACGTGCGCAGCCAACCCGATGCGGCCTCCCCCCACCATCCCTGTCAAAAAAAATACAGAGTACACTTGGCGGCGGCGGCGGCGGCGGCGGCGGTGGCGGCGGCTGTGGCGGCGGCTGCGGCGGCTGCGGCGGCGGCGGCGGCGGCGGCGGCGACGGGGGCGGCGGCGGCGGCTGCGGCTGCTGCGGCGGCGGCGGGGCGGCGGCGCGGGCGGCGCGGCGGGCTGCGGCGGCGGCGGCGGTTTGGGCGGCGGGGGCGGCGGCGGCGGCGCGGCTGCGCTGCGGCGGCGGCGGCGGGCGGCGGGCGGCTGCGGCTGCGGCGGCGGCGGCGGTAGCGGTGGCGGCAGCGGGCTGCGGCGGGCGGCGGCGGCGGGGGGCGGCGGCGGCGGCGGCGGCGGGCTGCGGCGCGGCGGCGGCGGTTTGGCGCGGGGGGCGGCGGCGGCGGCGGCGGCGGCGGTGGCGGCTGCGCGGCTGCGGCGGGCGGCGGCGGCGCTGCGGCTGCGGCGGCCGGCGGCGGTAGCGGTGGCGGCAGCGGCTGCGGCGGCGGCGGCGGTTTGGCAGCGGGGGGCGGCGGCGGCGGGCGGCGGCGGGCGGCGGCGGCGGCGGCGGCGGAGGAGGCGGCGGCGGCGGCGGCGGCGGCGGATTGGCCCCCAGTAGCTGCCCATCCAAAGACGACTGCTGAATATGCTGAGGCTCGGGCCAGACTCGGGTGCTACGTATGTTGGGAGGGCGGGTGTGAGTGAGCGAGACGGCTTGCGGGCGGGGAGGGGGTCTTGACCCCTCCCCCTACCCCCTCCCCATGGACCTGGAGGGGGGGGGGCGCGAGGTGTCAGGGCGTCCAAAACGGCGTCAGATGTTACTAGGGTTTTGGCCCCATTTTGGCCTCTTGGGGGGGGCGCTAATTGAACACCCCCCTCCCGTGATCGATCTCACCCAAGATGGTCCAAAGATAGTCCCCAAGGCTCCCAAGGGTGCCCCAAGAGGGCCCCAAGCGGTGGCCAGGAAGCCCCAAGAGGCCCCCAGGAGGCCCCCAGGATGACCCCAAGAGGCTCCTAAGAGACCTCCAAGAAACCTCCAAGAGGCCCCAAGAGGCCCCCCACAGGCACCCAAGACGCTCCAAGAGGCCTCGGCGACAATGCCAAAATCGTTGATTGTACAACGGCTTTGGCCACATGTTGGCCTCCTGGGGGGGCACTGCTTCAGATAACTCCAAGAGCGCCTGGGAGAGTCCAAGATGATCTCCAAGATGGCTCAAGAAATCCCAAGATGCCTCAAGATGGCGCCCACGATGCGCCAAGAGGCCCCGAGACGGCTCCAAGACGGTTCCAAATGGCCAAAGAGCTCCCCCAGGAGGCTCCGAAGAGGCCAACATCCTTCCAAAACCGTGGGAAAATAAATGTTTTGGGCTTTCTCGCCGAGGCCTCAAGATGGCTCCAAGATGGCCCAACAGGGCTCCAAGAGCGCTCCCAAGGCTCCCAAGAGCGCTTCAGGAGGGCCCCGAGAGGCGTCCAGGAGGCCCCAGGAGGCCCCAACAGGCGCCCCAGAGGCCTCCAAGAAGGCCCCACGAAGCTCTCCGAGGCACCCAAGGCGCTCTAAGAGGCGTCCAGGACCACCAAAAGGCCCCCAAGACGCTCCACGAAGCCTCCACTGGGGGACCCTTCTTCTGTGTGCTGCCCGCTTCCCTGATCGAGGCAATTCCCCTGGGCATCGTTTCTAGATGGGCTGGTGCGTCAACAATTTGGTAGGGGTCTCGAAAGGAAAGGGGATAGGGATGGGGATGGGTTGAATGATACCGATGGAAAGCGTTCGGGAACGCCCTGGTAAGGATCTCTCCTCGTGCAAGCCCCGTCCGGCACCCTCGGGTCCGGGCGTCGCACCTTGTTTTTCGCTGCCGGCGACTTCGCCCGCGCCCGGTGACGGGCCCCGGGGGCCCTTGTACGGGTTCGGTCCAGTCCCTCGTCCCTTTTTAAAGGGACGAGGAAAGCTTGGATCTGGGGCTTGGGGCGTTCTTTTTCGTGACGTTAGCCACCTGCTCGCAACGTCGGGTCTCAGAGCAGGGCGCTCGGAGGAAGCTGGCGGAAACACGACTTGCGGGTGTGGCTCGAATCGATTGGGATCAGGCCCGCCCAGGCACGGGGCGGTCGTCCAAGTAGGCAGGCCATTCAAGTCGATTGGGATGCCCACAAAGAGCTTCTTTCAACGAGAGATCTGCAAGCATGTATACACACATGTACATGATTACGCGAACCATTGCTTCAATGCCACCAGCCCTTCAGGGCGTGAGTCGTTTAGCGAGTTTCCTCTTCCATCTTCCCTCTTCCCCTTCGGGGAGCGGTTTATCACTTTTCCCTATTCTATACACCCCCTCCCCCAGGCTACTGGCAGCCAACCAAGAACAATGAGGACACCATGCTCACCCCCTCACCATCCTTTTCAAAAACAATGCAAAACGCACTCTGTCTCCACATGTGGAGCATGCGCGGCTAACCCGATGCGGCCCCCCCCCACCATCCTTGTCAAAAACAATACAAAGTACACTTTGGAGCAAAGTCTTTAGCCATGCTCGCGAGGCCCGCGAACACTTCGTCAGGCCTCGCGAGCATGGTGTGAGCGTATTGCCTGCTGTGCGCAGGGCTGCCATCCCAAAAAGAAACCAACACTAGATGCACCTCGCGGCTAAATATGGATCATGCGCGGCCACCCCACGATCACTGCCAACTGGTTTTTGACAAGGACCGTGGGGGCGGTGGCGTATGGCCTGTTGTGCGCAGGCCCACCAGACACAATGGTGGGCACTGGTGTTCGACCAGGATGGTGGGGGCCGACATGTTTCCTGATGTGTGCTGTCACGTGCAATCGCACCTGACACACTCTGCACGTGCCCCGAACGTGGCGCACCTGGCGCGGCTAGAGTATGCGGCACACCTGGCGCACGCGGAGCACGTAGCGTCTGGCGCACCAGGCGTGCCTGGCCTGGAACGCGTGGCGCACCTCGCCTCCGGCAACGCGCACATGGGGTCGGCTCTGGTTCCCGGTAAATGTCCATCCAAAGACGAACGCTGAACATGCTCAGGCTGGGGTGTTACTTATGTGTTGGGAGGGCGGGAGTGAACTAGACGGCTTCTATCTCGGAGGGTGTCTTGACCCCTCCCCCTACCCCTCCCCCTGGGTCTGAAGGGGCCGGAGCGTCCAAAATCAAGATGGATGGATTCCAGGTGCCCAAGGTGACTTCCAAGATGGCCCAAGGTACTCCAAGATGGCTCAAAATGGCTGCCAACTGACTCAAGGAAGCTCGAATATCGTTCCAAGACGGGTGCAATAGACCTTGCGGTCTCCCCAGGACGCTCCCAAAATGCCAAAATCGTTCAAAAACTACAAGGATATAAAAGTGTAGCCTTCTCGCCCGTTCGCGTCCGATGGTCGTCCGAGGCCTCAAGATGGCTCTAAGACGACCCCCGATGGCCCCAACTGAGGCCGAATATGGCCCCAAAACAGCCCCAAGCGCCCCGAATATCGCTCCAACAGCGCCCCAAGAGGGCACTGTGGGGCCCCAGGTGGCGACGCTAATTGGAACCACCGCGTCTCTGACCAGCGAACACGTTTAAAGCACGAATGGGTTTTGACAGATTTTGGCGTTTCGGGGGTCTCATTCAGAAGCGTTTTGCCCATGGGGGCTCAAAGGTGGCCCCAGACCCTTTTCCCCATATCCTAATGATGGGGCTCTTGTTGTTACTTTGACCGCGCGGAGAACGAGAACACACCTCCCACCCTCAGGTCACCACTCTCTGACTCACTCACATGTACACTCACTCATATCCAGGCTCACTCATACTCAGGTGCACTCGCGTTTAGATCCCTGATAATCAAGTTTCCCATGCTCGGAATCACTCATACGCAAACTCACTCACGCTAAGACTCAATCATACTCTGCCTCGCTCTTCCTCACCCAGACTCAGCCACACACTTTCCGCGCTCAGATTCAAACGCACGTTGTGAAGATGCTTCGCACCCAGACTCGCTCTCACTTAGACTCACTCATACTCTAATTCGCTGATCCTCAGTCAGAATCAGTCACACCACTTCCGCGCTCACTCACACACACACGATGTGAGGATGTCCGGGCGAATCGCTGGTTTCAGCACCCCCAAGGGGGGGCGGCAGGGGTCAGGACACTCCAGGATTCGCGACCAATGTGTGGGGATGTCTCAGGCGATTTGCCTGCACCGGTGCTCAACATCTCTTGATTTTGGAACAATGTCTGAGGACGTCCCAGACGAGGCGCTGGTGTCAGCACTCCCAAGGGGGGGCGGCAGGGGTCGGGACACTCCAGAATCGCGCCACGATTGTGGGGATGTGTCAGGCGGTCTGCCTGGGCCAGCGCCCAACATATCTTTACGACGGCATGGGAGCAATGAACAAAATCTTCACGATGCGTGATGTAAACGGATGGGTATCCCAACGTTGGGCGCTACTGCCATACTGCACAACACTGACGCCTTGCGCACCACCGCAGCAGCACGAACAACTCTCGTTATACAGTTTTGCGTTCGCCGCTGCGGGGTGTGACCGCCTCTTGCTTAACGGCTGGTGCCGACGCGGCGCTGCACTCGAGCGCTCGCGCGCAAACGCGCGTGTCTGGCAGGGGGGCGGGGGGAGGGGCAGCCCGAGGATAATGGATAATGGATGGATGGGAAGGGAATGGGAAGAAGAGAGCACATGGGCACATGGCTGACACAAAAGTGGGGGGGAAAAAAAAACGGGCGTCGACGCAAGAGATCCTTCCCTCAACCGTACTCTGCGAAGTCCGCGAACAGATCGAAGAGGCCTTCTGGAAGTGCACCGCGCCAATATTCGCGGGCGCTCGCAAATTGTTCGGCGTGCGCGATGGCTTCGCAAAGGGTAGTTTTGATGCGCGCGCTCTTCGTGATGGCCTCGTAAATGTCGGCGGGGAGCTCGTGCGCGTCGGCCAAGTCCTCGCTTGAAGACATTCGGCGCCAGGCAAGAGACAGCGGCGTATTCCTCGGGCGCCCCTTGGCGCCGCCCTCCTCAGCATCGTCCGTCGCGACTTCAGCGCCAGGCTTTTCGGCGGCGTTCGCACCTGCATCTGGCGGTGCCAGCGCCTGATGGTCCTGCATCTCGGCGCGCGTGCCTGATGCGCACACTTCCACGCACGAGAGGGCACCGCGGGTCACGCGTGCACCTGATGAAACGGGATTGCGCAGGGCCTGAGGCGCAGCGAGGTGATGGGCGAGATGTCGGTGCCGCTGGCTGGATCTGAACGGCGGAGGTCTGGCACATCGGGGGCGTGGGGGTCCAGCGGGTCCTCTCGGGCCTTCTCGAGAGGTGCATTGTGCGGCTCGGTGATGCCGATGCTGTCGTTCGTGTCGTAGGGCACGCGAGCGCCACACCAGGGCGCCGCAGGCGTGTCCATGATCGAGTTCTCGGGGCAAGTTGCCTTCAGCGCGTGCAGAGCCAGGCCCGGAGGTGTCCCTAATGTAGCTCCCCATCGCACAGCTCGTAGATGTCGACGGTGTCGGTGTTGTTGGGCTCGTGAGCGCCATACAGGGGCGCCGCAAGCGCGTCCTTCGTCAGGTGGAACGTCACGTTGTGCGAGGTCCTGGCCGCCCTGCCAGGCTGCCTCGGCGGCGCGAGGAGCACTGGAGCACCCAGCCATGTGGCGCAACAGCTGCATGGGTGCCCGCGCGAATGTGCGAGTGGATGGGGGAGAAGAATGCGAGGCCGACTTCTGGGAACAGGTTCGAACCGTTCGTGGCCTTCCCAACACCTCTTGCTTCCGGAGCCGTTTCTGAGGACGTTTCAGGCGAGGCGCAGGTTTGAGCACTCCCAAGGGGGGGGGCGGCAGGGGCCAGGACACTCCAGGATTCGCGCCCAGATTGTGGGGATGTCACAGGCGATTTGCCTGTGTGGGTGCTCGGTGTTTAACATATCTTGCTTTCGGAGCCGTTTCTGACGAGGGCTCAGGTGAGACGCTGGTTTCGGCACTCCCAAGGGGGAGGGGGAGCGGCAGGGGTCAGGACACCCCAGGATTCGCGCACACATTGCGAGAGAGGAGGTGGAGGAGGTGGAGCTGGAGTGAGTAGGAAGTGGTGAAGGGGAACTCGTAACTGGAGAGGGATGTCGAAGAGAAAGGAGCAGGACTAGAAGGAGAAGGTGGAGGAAGAGGGAGGAATAGGAGGAGGACGGATGTGGAAAGAGTAAGCGGGTTCTCGCCGCCGAACGGGCAACTCGGTTGACCGAGGCCAGAAGATCGAGGGTTCAAGGCTTCTGACTCGAGCTTCGCTGCTCTAGGTTTTCCCGTGTCGTTGTATTGTTCGAGTTTCCTTGGCATACATTGTTCGAGTTTCCTTGGCATTCTCCTCCCCACGGGTGGATTATCCTGACACGTGTTCAAAGGAAAAAGGAGAAAGAGGAGGAGGACAAGGAGGAGGAGGAGGAAAGAAGAAGGCAACGCCTAGTTCAAGTCGTCGTCGTCGTAGTCGTCTCTCTCGGCTGCGTCTTCCACATGGATTCGCTGACATTCAGATGTTGAAAAGGACAATGTCTTCTACCGAAGCATGCCACCAATATGAGATGTACACATAGGGATCTGCGCGTCGAGTAATTTTAAGATTGCCTCCAAGCTGTGGTTTGAGGGAATTTCTGTGGAACTACCGTCATCCTCACCCCCGGCGCGGGGAGCACAGGGGCCCAGAGCGGCTTCCGGCACCGTTTCCGGACAGATCTGGACAGATCCGGTGGATCCGCCGACGAATCCCAAACCGGCGCCCTCGCTTGAGACATCCTCACAAAACCGGCCCCGGGGGAGGTGCCCAGAGGAGCCCAGAGCGGCCTCCGGCACCGTTTCCGGACAGATCCGGTGGATCCGCTGGATCCGCGATCCGACGAATCCCAAACCGGCGCCCTCGCTTGAGACATCCTCACAAAACCGGCCCCGGGGGAGGTGCCCAGAGGAGCCCAGAGCGGCCTCCGGCACCGTTTCCGGACAGATCCGCTGGATCCGGTGGATCCGCCGACGAATCCCAAACCGGCGCCCTCGCTTGAGACATCCTCACAAAACCGGCCCCGGGGGAGGTGCCCAGAGGAGCCCAGAGCGGCCTCCGGCACCGTTTCCGGACAGATCCGGTGGATCCGCCGACGAATCCCAAACCGGCGCCCTCGCTTGAGACATCCTCACAAAACCGGCCCCGGGGGAGGTGCCCAGAGGAGCCCAGAGCGGCCTCCGGCACCGTTTCCGGACAGATCCGCTGGATCCGGTGGATCCGCCGACGAATCCCAAACCGGCGCCCTCGCTTGAGATCGACATCCTCACAAAACCGGCCCCGGGGGAGGTGCCCAGAGGAGCCCAGAGCGGCCTCCGGCACCGTTTCCGGATAGATCCGCTGGATCCGGTGGATCCGCCGACGAATCCCAAACCGTCGCCCTCGCTTCAGACATCCTCACAAAACCGGCCCCGGGGGAGGTGCCCAGAGGAGCCCAGAGCGGCCTCCGGCACCGTTTCCGGACAGATCCGCTGGATCCGCTGGATCCGCTGGATCCGGTGACGAATCCCAAACCGGCGCCCTCGCTGAGACATCCTCACAAAACCGGCCCCGGGGGAGGTGCCCAGAGGAGCCCAGAGCGGCCTCCGGCACCGTTTCCGGACAGATCCGGTGGATCCGGTGGATCCGCCGACGAATCCCAAACCGGCGCCCTCGCTTGAGACATCCTCACAAAACCGGCCCCGGGGGAGGTGCCCAGAGGAGCCCAGAGCGGCCTCCGGCACCGTTTCCGGACAGATCCGGTGGATCCGCTGGATCCGGTGACGAATCCCAAACCGGCGCCCTCGCTTGAGACATCCTCACAAAACCGGCCCCGGGGGAGGTGCCCAGAGGAGCCCAGAGCGGCCTCCGGCACCGTTTCCGGACAGATCCGGTGGATCCGCTGGATCCGCTGGATCCGGTGACGAATCCCAAACCGGCGCCCTCGCTTGAGACATCCTCACAAAACCGGCCCCCGGGGAGGTGCCCAGAGGAGCCCAGAGCGGCCTCCGGCACCGTTTCCGGACAGATCCGCCGACGAATCCCGACATCCTCACAAAACCGGCCCCGGGGGAGGTGCCCAGAGGAGCCCAGAGCGGCCTCCGGCACCGTTTCCGGACAGATCCGGTGGATCCGGTGACGAATCCCAAACCGGCGCCCTCGCTTGAGACATCCTCACAAAACCGGCCCCGGGGGATGTGCCCAGAGGAGCCCAGAGCGGCCTCCGGCACCGTTTCCGGACAGATCCGGTGGATCCGGTGGATCCGCCGACAAATCCCAAACCGGCGCCCTCGCTTGAGACATCCTCAGAAAACCGGCCCCGGGGGAGGTGCCCAGAGGAGCCCAGAGCGGCCTCCGGCACCGTTTCCGGACAGATCCGCTGGATCCGGTGGATGAGCCGACGAATCCCAAACCGGCCCCGGGGGAGGTGCCCATGGAGCCCAGAGCGGCCTCCGGCACCGTTTCCGGACAGATCCGCTGGATCCGGTGGATCCGCCGACGAATCCCAAACCGGCGCCCTCGCTTGAGACATCCTCACAAAACCGGCCCGGGGGAGGTGCCCAGAGGAGCCCAGAGCGGCATCCGGCACCGTTTCCGGACAGATCCGGACAGATCCGGTGGATCCGCGCGCCCTCGCTTGAGACATCCTCACAAAACCGGCCCCGGGGGAGGTGCCCTGAGGAGCCCAGAGCGGCCTCCGGCACCGTTTCCGGACAGATCCGGTGGATCCGCTGGATCCGCTGGATCCGGTGACGAATCCCAAACCGGCGCCCTCGCTTGAGACATCCTCACAAAACCGGCCCCGGGGGAGGTGCCCAGAGGAGCCCAGAGCGGCCTCCGGCACCGTTTCCGGACAGATCCGGTGGATCCGCTGGATCCGCTGGATCCGGTGACGAAACCCAAACCGGCGCCCTCGCTTGAGACATCCTCACAAAACCGGCCCCGGGGGAGGTGCCCAGAGGAGCCCAGAGCGGCCTCCGGCACCGTTTCCGGACAGATCCGCTGGATCCGGTGGATCCGCCGACGAATCCCAAACAGGCGCCCTCGCTTGAGACATCCTCACAAAACCGGCCCCGGGGGAGGTGCCCAGAGGAGCCCAGAGCGGCCTCCGGCACCGTTTCAGGACAGATCCGCTGGATCCGCTGGATCCGCTGGATCCGGTGACGAATCCCAAACCGGCGCCCTCGCTTGAGACATCCTCACAAAACCGGTCCCCCGGGGGAGGTGACCAGCGGAGCCCAAGGATGACCAGAGCGGCCTCCTCCGGCACCGTTTCCGGACAGATCCGGTGGATCCGGTGACGAATCCCAAACCGGCGCCCTCGCTTGAGACATCCTCACAAAACCGGCCCCGGGGGAGGTGCCCAGAGGAGCCCAGAGCGGCCTCCGGCACCGTTTCCGGACAGATCCGCTGGATCAGGTGGATCCGCCGACGAATCCCAAACCGGCGCCCTCGCTTGAGACATCCTCACAAAACCGGCCCCGGGGGAGGTGCCCAGCGGAGCCCAGAGCGGCCTCCGGCACCGTTTCCGGACAGATCCGGTGGATCCGCTGGATCCGCTGGATCCGGTGACGAATCCCAAACCGGCGCCCTCGATTGAGACATCCTCACAAAACCGGCCCCGGGGGAGGTGCCCAGAGGAGCCCAGAGCGGCCTCCGGCACCGTTTCCGGATAGATCCGCTGGATCCGGTGGATCCGCCGACGAATCCCAAACCGGCGCCCTCGCTTGAGACATCCTCACAAAACCGGCCCCGGGGGAGGTGCCCAGAGGAGCCAGAGCGGCCTCCGGCACCGTTTCCGGACAGATCTGGGACAGATTCCGGTGGATCGCCGACGATTCCAGACACCGGGCCCTTAGCGTGTAGACCATCTCACAAATCCGGCCCCAGGGGAGGCGCCCTACCCTTAGAGGAGCCCAGCAGCAGCCTCCGGAACCGGTTCCGGACAGATCCTCTGGATCGGTTGGATACACCCGACGAATCAGAACACAGCGCCCTTCGCTTGAGACAACCTCACAAAACGCCGGGGGAGGTTCGGAGGTGGCCAAGGGAGCCCAGAGGCGGATCCGGCACCGTTTACCGGACAGAATCCGGTTGTGGATACGGTGGATCCGTCGTACCCGAATCCCAAAACCGGGCGCCAGCGAAATCGAGGACTCCTCACAAAAAAAAAAACGGCCCCGGGGGGAGGTGAGGAGTGCCCAGTGGAGCCCAGAGCGGCCTCGGGAGCGGCCTCCGGCACCGTTTCCGGACAGATCCGCTGGATCCGGTGGATCCGCCGACGAATCCCAAACCGGCGCCCTCGCTTTAGACATCCTCACAAAACCGGCCCCGGGGGAGGTGCCCAGAGGAGCCCAGAGCGGCCTCCGGCACCGTTTCCGGACAGATCCGCTGGATCCGGTGGATCCGCCGACGAATCCCAAACCGGCGCCCTCGGGAGGTGCCCATGGAGCCCAGAGCGGCCTCCGGCACAGTTTCCGGACAGATCCGGTGGATCCGGTGGATCCGCCGACGAATCCCAAACCGGCGCCCTCGCTTGGGACATCCTCACAAAACCGGCCCCGGGGGAGGTGCCCAGAGGAGCCCAGAGCGGTCTCTGGCACCGTTTCCGGACAGATCCGGACAGATCCGGTGGATCCGCGCCCCGGGGGAGGTGCCCAGACAGAGGAGGAATGAGGAGGAGAAGGAGGAGGAGGAGGAGGTGGAGGAGGAGGAGGAGGAGGAGGAGCCTTGAGACTCCAAGGTCGATCTATAGTGCGGGGTCGAACTATAGATCGACCTGGCACTTTCCTTGGGTCGCACTATAGTCCAACCCATGATTTTTGGCCAGGTCGTACTTTTCTTCGCTCGCGCATTAATGGATCCCCTGAGTGAGGGGGCATGCGTCCCCTGAGCGAGGGGTATCGGCTGCATCACATTGCGCGCATGTTACAACATCCCGCAGCTGCGAAGGCTCGAGGGCACATAGCGCTACTCTTGCTTGCGCGCACTGCGCGGGGGGTGGGCAATGGTCAAGGGCAAGACGGAGGTGAAGATACGGGCTTCTTCTGTGACTGAGGAACAGTTGAAGCCGCTCGTGAAACAGCACATTGATCTCATCGAAAAATGCCAACTGCAAGGGGGCATAGATGACTTCATGAAGAACAACATGCCGTTTCTCTTGCCGCTTGCGCAGCTCACCACACGCGTCAAATGGAAGAACCTCCAGGACGTCGTGTTGAAGCAGAAGCCGAACATGCACCAGGAAGAGTGTAGGCGTTTCTGCCAGGAGGTGGCCAACGCTTTCAGCCATGTTTGCAACAAGTTCTACATCGCCAAGACGGGGGGGAAGCTGGAGGC